TCAGGTCCCTCTGGATGGCATTCCGCTGTTACAAACAAGGTTACAAGGACTGCAGAGTTGGGGTGTCATTTCACACCTGTGGAAGCCCGTCAGCAGAGGAATTCTTAGAAGTGGCCTGGCTGGCTCACAGGGTTGGGCATGTGGAATTTTCATAGTTACAGCCAAATCTGCCTTCCACGGAAGTAGATGAATCTACATTCCCTGAGCAGAGCAGGAATGAGCCCTGCCCAGAGCTATGGGAGTCAAGCTGGGGGTGGGAATGGAGGGAGACAATTCTAGAAGGTCTTAGTCAGGACCTTTCCTTTCTGGGGGCCGCCTCCTCAGACCACATCCAGGGTCCCCTCAATGAAGCCTTCGGTGTTCAGAAACTCCCCAACCCACCCTCTCAGGCCTGGGGTGGGGAGGTGGGGTGGTGGGGGGAGGGTTGGTGAGTAGAGATGTCCCTTCCCGAGTGGTTTGATCCTAGCTATTATGGGTATCTTTTTAACCTTCAAAGAAAAAAAAAAAAAGACAACTTTGTTGCTTTCTGATTCTTTAAGTATTTCAGAGGGAAAAATTTATTTCCCCCCAACTTTGTTTTCCCAACTTTTTGTTTTGAAAACTAAAAACTTCAGACAAATTGCAAGAATGGTACAATGAGCACCCATATACCCTTTACCTTGATTCACGCATTGTTCACATTTTGCTACACTGGCTTTATCTCTCTCTATTTTGCTGAACCGTTTGAGACTAAGTTGCAGCCACTCAGCCCTAAACACCTTAGTGTGCCTTTTCTAAGAACAAGGACATTTTCTGGCAAAACCACAGTCTGGTTATCACACTCAAGAAATTTAACCTTGATGACGTAAGATCTACTGTACAGGTCTTATTACATTTTCTCCAGTTGGCCCAATAAGTTTTCTGTAACTCACCCACGCCTCCCTGCCCTCGAGGTCAGTTAAGCCGCTGCCTTCTGCTGAGGTCATGGTCCCAGGGTCCTGGGATAAATCCTGTATTGGGCTCCTTGCTCGGCAGGGAGCCTGCTTCTCTCTCCACCTCTGTCTGCCACTCTCCCTGCCACTCTGCCTCCTTGTGCACTTGCTCTCTCTCTCTCTCTCTGACAAATAAATAAAGAAATAAATATCTTAAAAAAAAAAAAACCTGACTTGGCATTTAGCTCTAAGCCGGGAGTTTGGATTTCTCCTCTGCAGCTCGGTGGGCCTGCTGCTGTGGGGCCGGCCTCCAGGAAGGCAGCTCCAGGTGGGAACAGTGCTGGCCATGAACTCACAGGTGCAGGTGGGGTCCACGAGAGGAACCTAAGCCCTACTCGAACCCCACACATGTCTTTCTAGGCCCTGGGGGTGCAAGCTGGGAGTGGGGTTGGGGAGGATACTGTCCCGCCGCTGGGCTTGCTGGGGAAGAATTCATTCTCACAATAAATTACCTTCCGTTTCTGTCCCTTTTTCAGTGTCAGGCAAGGACTTGTCCATCCATCCCCACAACAGCTCCTGGCGCTGGTACTGTTTTCTCCCCTTTTACGATTGAAAGGCGTTTCTGTTTTTCCATCTGATGAGGAGGCCAGTGATGGCCACAGGGGGCCACATGCTGCCTCTGGAAGGACCAATGGGTGCGTGGTCAGTGTGAACCATGGCCAAGTGAGCCAAGACAGTGGCTGTTTCCTCCTCAGGTCTCCAGGCTTGGGCATCTCAAGGCTCCTGCTCCCGCCTGCAGCCGCCATGACCATCCTTGGGAGAGACAGCCACCGGCTCCAGCGGTGCCTCATTGCCCAAAGATCACCTCTCCTACCTGCCCAGATGGCTGCCACAATGGGCTTTGGTCGAACCAGTGATGCCTCAACGCATTCCTCTGTGGCAGAAGGCGGGGACTGTGATCTGATCATCTCTGGGGTCCTGAGGGGGCCACAGAACCTTTTGTCGACTCTTGACAGGGCTTTCACAGACCAGAGTTTAGTTAGAGTTTGTAAATTGGGTGGGATTATTTGCAGATAAGGAAACTGAGGTGTAGCAACAAATCTCAAAAGCATCCTATCGCAAGAAGAAAACCAGAAATGGAATGCAAGCTCCTTATTCTGCTGTGGGGGGGAAACTGAGGCTCAGAGATCACCAGACCTGGTTCCTGACCACTACGTTACAGGGCAGGAAGGGGTGAAGGGAATTATTAATTACTCTCTGTGCCTATTTTGGAGTCAGAGGTAGGACCAGAACCTGGTTCTCTAAAGGGCCTTTCCAGAACTTTCTGTGATACAGTTCAAGTGGTGGTGTTGGTGTTGGTGTTTGGGGGAATCAATAATAATGATGACAGCAATAATAATAATAGTCATTGAGTGTTTGCCATATGATAGACAAGGATCCAAACACATTACAGCTACTAATTGAATTCTCAAACAATTCCTGTGAGGTGGGTGCATTATTATCCCCATCAGCTCATTTTATAAAGGGGGAAACTCGGGCTTCGAGGAGGTAAGACGTTTGCTAAGGGTCGCTCAGCTCCTGCAGGAAACAGCCAGGTCCCTGCCTTCCAGCGGCTCTGACCTTGAGGCAGACAAAGGCTGTCACCCTATGGGCTGTATTCTTGGAGTTCTTGAAGCCTGAGGCCTGACTAGATAAAAACTTCACAGGCGAGCAGAGAACCCAGGCTGAACATGGGGTGGGTGGCAGCTCCTCCGGACTCAGGCAATTCTGGGTTTGAATTCTGGCTCTTTCATTTCAGTGACCTTGGTGCGATTGATCTCTTAGGCCTCCATTTTCTCATGGATAAAACGGAGATTGTGCAGGAGAAGTCTTGGTTCTGTTATACACTAGGAATCACTATGCCCCTGACCCTCAGTTTCCTCCTCTGTAAAATGGGGAGAGTGGCTGTGGGCTGGGAACTGTTCAGGTAAGCCATAACTTTGAGGCTGTGAAAGACCGAAATAGAAACTGGGTTATGGCCTTAACATACAGTTGATAAAATGATTTTGTGTAATTTCAGACCTCCACTGGATGGGGGAAAGGGAATGCAAAGGGCACCTTCTGTCCTGCCCTTTCGACCAGCGGCCCCTTCACCAGTGAAAGTTTGCACTCTCGCCCCCGATCTCGGCTGCCAAGCCTCTCCGAGCCGTAAAGCCAGTTTCAGGGAAAGCTGATGGTTGGCCCCTTAGAATCCACGTGCAAACCTCGCGGGCGCTGAATGGCTGGGCGGCTTAAGCCCGAGAACCTGGTGACGTCAAAGTCAAGGTCTGCCCTTCTTAAAGGCGCAGGCTCGCACCCCGTGTTCGTTTTTCTGTGTTCGGACAAATAATTAGGACCGCCCAAAAGTTTTAAAGGCGAGGCAGGTGGCGGGCTTTCTGGTGCGGGACTTGCATGGGAAACAGATTTGTCTCCCTGAGAAGCGCGATCAGAGACGTCGGCGCAGGATCTAAGCCCACCTGTCGCGCAGGGAGGCAGCCTGGTGCAGGGTAAAGTACCTGGAAGGTTCGAACTCCAGGCACTTAAACTTCGAGCCTCAGTTTCATCTGCTGTAAAAAGGAACCAAATAATAATATACTTCTAAAAGTTTGGGGGCTTAGAAGTAATGTTGTGAGAGTAACCAAAGGAAAAAATATCAGGCCCCTTCTTCCGTACTCAGTCCTCTCACTGTGCGAAGGAGGAACCCGAGGCCCAGAGTGGTGGTGTCACTTGCCCAAGGTCACGCGGTGGTGGGACTAAGACTAAGTTGAGTCGGGCTGACCCCGGGCTTCCCGGCTTCCTGGCTCCCGGGCCAACCTTTTCCCTGTCCCAGCCTGGCTGGCCCGAGTCGCAGCTCGTCTAATCCCAGCGCCCATGGGCTCACAGGACCCAGCGGTCCGCCGACTGGTTTTGGAACTGCGCCTCAATGGATCACCTGTAAAATGGGGATAATGCTAATTCCTATTTGGTAGGTCGCCATTATGTTGTAAAGCCTCAGCAGGGAGCCTGGCGGGTAACTGTTTGTCATCACTATTTGATATCCCCGTGGCCTTGGAAGAACTGATTCAAATCCCTGCCTCCTCACAGATGAGGACACTGAGGAAGAGGCGGAGAGCGCGTTATCCACGCTGGCCCGGCAAGATAAGAGGAGCGCCGGGACTCTCGGGGCAACGCTCGACCAGGGCACTGGTGGGATGGAGTTTGTGAGAATACACTGTTAACTGCGGTGCTACCGCCGGTCACGCGCAAATTGGAGACCCACGACCTTGCTTGGAGCGCTGGCCGGGCCGGGTACCCGCGGCGCAGCAGCAGCGCTGGGAGGGGGGCGCGGCGGGTCCGGGAGCCGCGGCTGGTGGGCGGGGCCGGTGGAACTCCGGGCATGTAGCTGGTCGGCCGATGAGGGCGGAGCCTCGCGGCGCTGTCCGGGGAGCGGGGAGGGCTTGGGCGCTTTCAGAGACTGCCTTGGTGCGGGGCGAGCGCACGCGGACCGCACACCGGCCGCGGAGCCGCCATGGGCCCGCTGGGCCCCGGGCGCCGTGCGGCGCGAGCACTGGCCTGGAGTCAGGTGGGCGGAGCTGGACCGGGGTTGAGGGCCTGGCAGGGGGCGGGGGCGGAGATGGGCCTCCGGAGGACCCGGGGAACCTGACCCGGTGTTGGGCTGGGGTCCCAGACTCTCGAGACGTCAGGCAGACCTGGTCGTCCTATCGGGCGTCCGCTGCGCGCGGGGCCGGGATTGCTCCGAGGAGCAAGGGGAGATCCTGTCTTCGCACACCTTTTTCCTGCTCTCGTGGCCGAACCTCCGGCCTCTGTCTTGGGGAGAGAGAGCAGAGATTGTCCTTCCCCTCCAGGCCTGAGGGACTGGCCCTTCCGGCCTCGGGAGGGTGCGGGAGGGAGGGCCGGGAACCCAGCCTTCAGTTCCGAGAGCGGAGAGCGGGCGGTCTTTTCGCGGCCATCAGATTTGTTTACATGTTTCCCCCATCGCTCGGCCCCACCTTCCACTCCCGGTGACGGGGCACAGAAGTGCCCGCCTCGGGAGTGGGGGGCTTAGAAGGATGGCTCAGGCGTTTGATCGATCTTTGGGTTCTCAGGGCCAGACGGGGCGCCTTCCCCAATGAGGGGGCACAGTAATTCCGTATTACTCACAAGGGGGAATGACAGTGGACCGTTGTTGTTTCTTAACCAATGAGTAACTACGCAAGTTTCCTTCCTATCTACTCCCAGAGTGACCTTGTTCAGGTCGTTTCACCTCTCTGAATCTGTTTCTCCACTGGCAAAGTAGAGCTGACTAAATTGCTTTAAAAGGTAATTGTGAGGGGGCCTGGGTGGCTAAGTCTGTTAAACTTCTGCCTTCCGCTCAGGTCATGATTCCAGGGTCCTGGGATCCCGCCCCGATTGGGCTCCCTGATCCTGGTTCTCACTTTCCTCCCCGCTGGTGCTGTCTCTTTCTCTCAAATGAATAGTCTTCAAAAATAAAAATAAAAGGTAATTGTGAGGATTGTCTGAGTTCATATTTAGTGGGTGAATTTAGGTAAAGGGCTGGGTCAGATCCCAAAGTGCCCTGCCTCGTGTCTCCTCTTCCCAGTGGTTTTTGTTTTGTGAGTGGCGGTTCCAATGGACTTGTTTGTTTTTCAGAATTGAAGCTACAAGATGGCTGACCAGGACCCTGGGGGCATTAGCCCCCTCCAACAAATGGTGGCCTCGGGCACTGGGGCTGTGGTCACCTCCCTTTTCAGTAAGATCTGGGGAGGTGGAGAGGGGGCAGCTGGGGACTGGGGCAGGCCAGAGATTGGAGGCGACTTGGTCCTGTGGTGGGGTCAAGGGGAGGGGTCCTGAAAGGAGCCTTCAGACCTGCCCTCCTCCTCCAGTGACACCCCTGGACGTGGTGAAAGTTCGCCTGCAGTCTCAGCGCCCCTCGACGGCCAGTGGTGAGTGCCTAGCCATGGAGCCCAGAAGGGGCCTGGGCAAAACCAAGATCTTCCAGAGATGGGGTCCCCGGGACAGGTCAGAGTGGGGGCCCTTCTGACTTAAAGGACTGCCTTGTGTTTTAGAGCTGATGCCTCCCTCCAGACTCTGGAGCCTCCCCTACGTGAAATGTGAGTTCCCCGAACCACAGGGAGCTTGTGAAGGTCCAGGGGATAGAGTGGCCCAGGGGATTTGAGTGCCCACAGCCCTACCATACTCTTCCAGGTCCTACCAGCGAGCCCTGTGTCCTGGACAAGAATGTCCACCCGGGGACCATGGCCTGTGCTGGCCTCCAAGGGATGGGACTCACCCCCCCTCCCTGCGGGGTTCCAGGGCAATGTCCTCCTAATACCCTCTTCCCTTCCCCAGTGCCCTCCTCTCTCCGATCCACAGGGAAGTGCCTCCTGTACTGCAATGGGGTCTTGGAGCCCCTCTACTTGTGCCCGAACGGCACCCGCTGTGCCACCTGGTTTCAGGACCCCACCCGCTTCACTGGCACTGTGGTGAGGAGCGGCTGGGCCCCCGCCTGGAATCTGGGTGCTCTGGAGGGATTCACATCGGTCGGGTGGGAGACCCAAGGAGGAGTGGGTGGTGAAAAGCAAGTAGCAGTAGCCGGGTCGGCTTGGGAAGGGCTCTCCGGCGGAGGTGGTGCCTCTCTGCGGTTTGAAGGGTGAGCAGGAGTCTGTTGGGAGCTAAACGGGCGATTGCACGTGTGCTGGCCTGAGGGGCTCTTGCCTCCCAGCAGGACCCAGGGCTGCGGGCAGAGGAGAGGGCATCAGGCTGGGGCCGAGTCCAGGTGGGCCCCATCACAGGGTTCATTCTGGTATCTGTGTGGCCAGGACGCCTTTGTGAAGATCGTGAGACACGAGGGCACCAGGACCCTGTGGAGCGGCCTTCCAGCCACCTTGTGAGTCTCCTGGTCCCGCACATTGCTTTTCCCTGCTCTCCTGCTCTCCTGTCATGGTGGCTGGGGCGGGGGCACCCGGGAGGTTGGGAGCCTTTGGGAGTCCCAGCTAACGTCTGTTCACGCTCCCAGGGTTATGACTGTGCCGGCCACTGCCATCTACTTCACCGCGTATGACCAACTCAAGACCTTCCTCTGTGGTCGAGCCCTGACTTCTGATCTCTACGCCCCCATGGTGGCTGGCGCACTAGCCCGCTGTGAGGACAGTCCGGGGCCCTTGATCTCTCTCTGACCCACCGCTCTGCCGGAGCCCGGTCCTGGCTTCCAGCTCTAGTGTCCGGCAGCTTAGGGGTGGAGGGATCTCTTGGGCCCCTAGATCCCGGGAGAGGTGGTGTCTGTCGGGCTGTGAGCTGACCCCTCCCTCCTGTTCCCCCGCAGTGGGCACCGTGACTGTGATCAGCCCCTTGGAGCTGGTGCGGACAAAGCTGCAGGCTCAGCACGTGTCCTACCGGGAGCTGGGATCCTGTGTTCGAGCCGCCATGGCCCAGGGTGGCTGGCGCTCACTGTGGCTAGGCTGGGGCCCCACTGCCCTTCGGGATGTGCCCTTTTCAGGTAGGAGTCGGGTGCGGGGGGTGGGGTAAGGGAGCCTCCGGATGACATACAAGTGGTCTACAGTGCAGTGACTTTGAAGTTGCTTTTCTGGACCTTGAATATCTCATCTGCGAAATGGGTTCAGCGGGTGGGGTAGTCACCCAGGTTTCCAGGAGAAAATTCTCACGGAGGATCTGTCACAGAGACCGGCCCGCCACAGACAGTCCTCATTCTCCAGAGGAAGGGCTCGTTGCATTGTGCGGGGGTGAAAAATGGGAGGTTTGAGGCCACCTTGCTGCCCTTCCTGACTCTAATGAGTGTTTCCCCAACATCCCCAAGCCCTGTACTGGTTCAACTATGAGTTGGTGAAGAGCTGGTTGAGTGGGCTCAGACCAAAAGACCAGCCGTCTGTGGGCATCAGCTTTGTGGCTGGCGGCATCTCAGGGACGGTGAGTTGATTGGGCCCGGACAGAGCCAGTGCGTGTGGGAGAGCTGTGGGAGGCGCTCCAGGGAGATGGGCTCGGGTAGCTCCCTCTTGAGGAGCAAGCTTGCCCTGCCTAATGAAGCCCTAGCTAAGGCTGGCAGAGCTCGGCTGGACACGAGGGAGGGGGTCCTGGAACCGGAGACCAGCCCTCTCCCCACCCCACCAGGTGGCGGCCATCCTGACTCTACCCTTCGACGTGGTGAAGACTCAGCGCCAGGTCGCGCTGGGAGCGGTGGAGGCTGTGAGAGGTGAAGGTTCTGGCTGGTGCGGGGCCGCGCGGGTGGGGACCCAGGTGGGGTCCTGACCTGGCTGTGCCTCACGTTTGCAGTGACGCCCCCACGCGCCGACTCCACGTGGCTGCTGCTGCGGAGGATCCAGGCTGAGTCGGGCACCAGGGGCCTCTTTGCAGGTGAGTGTGTGTGTGTATGTGTCCAAGCTCAGGACGGATTGGGGCCCCCTGGAGTCCTGACTTCTGACCCTAACCCCCACTCCCATTGCAGGATTTCTCCCAAGGATCATCAAGGCTGCTCCCTCCTGTGCCATCATGATCAGCACCTACGAGTTTGGCAAAGGCTTCTTCCAGAGGCTCAACAGAGAACAGCCTCTGGGCTCTTAGAAGGAGCCAGGGGACAAGGACCCCATCTCTTCCGTGGCTGGGGGGTGCCGAAGGAGACTGAGCCAAGTGCCTTGTCCTCAGCACTGAGGGGAGGGGCCTCATTTCCCATCCCCCTCAACTATGAGTCCTAGGGGTAGGGGCTTGCCCTTCGAGGCCTGCCCAGGCACCTTCCCAAAAACAGCTTTCTTCCTGCTGTTTCTCATTCCCAAGCCCCAAGGATAATCACTTTTCCACCACCACCACCCCTACCCCAAGTTCAAGACCAAATCTGCTATTTGTCCCCTCCCTTTCCGTTTCCCTGTGTGTTTGCTGTAGTGGGGTCTGCTCCTGGGAGCCACCAAACCCTGGGCCTGGTGTAGTCTGCCCCTGTCCCTGTGAATTCCTTGAATCTAAAGACGATGAACCTCTCACTAGCGCCTGTGACTGTGGGGTGGGGAGGGATGGGGAGGGGTGGAGAGTAGGAGAACTTGGTGAGTGGCTTGCACAGAGGAGGCCTGGAAGGGACCTGGAGGTTGGCTCTGACAACCCAGGTGCTATCCATAGAGAGGACACCCTGCCAACTTAGAGCTGGGTCAGGGTGAGGACCCAGAGTTGAGGGGGTGACGGGTAGTGTTAGAGCCACGGGGGAGGGTGGCAAGACCTCTCCCCACGGATACCTTCCAAGTGACAACAGAGGGAGGATGCTTCACTGGGGGTGCAACTTTGGGCCAAAGCTGAATCCTTCAAGATGAGTAAAGTCTCAGAGAACAGGGCCCTGCCAGGGCTGGCCTCCTCTGTCCCGCCCTTGGGCTGTTCAATGTCTTCCCTGCTGGGGGCTAATCAAATTACTAAGAGTGTCAGGTTGAATGGGACAGTCATTGGTCTTTCCCTGGTCTTTCCCTGGACAGACAGGACAAAAGCACCCCACTTCCTCAATCGTTCTGACTGGTTTGCTCCCGTGGGGCACACCCCCGTGGTGTCTGGTCTACCATCACCCCAGTTATGGACCCAGCATGGGCTCTACTGAATTGTGCCACCTTAGGTCAGCTCCCAGTCCCAACCCCCCACAGACAAAGTTGCCCTCAGTCTTCTGATTTTTATTTGCCGGATCCCCTCAGAGCCCCTTCCCTGGGGCCGAGGACGGAGTGACTCTGGGGTATACACAGGGTCAGACTGGAGAGGCAGGGGGGTGGGGTGCTGAGGCTGGGCCATCAGCTCCTGAGGAGGGCGGTAGGGATGAGCGAAGAGTCCGGTAGGAAGCCAGCCAGGTGCCAGGGTCACCAGAAGAATGATACAAGCTTTCCCCAGGGCACCCTGTGGCCTGTGGTGCCCCTGCGTCCCGGCCCAGGCAGCTTCCCCTTTGCAGCTCCTGCTCCCTTGGGCAGAAAGTTAAAACGGGCAAGAAGCAAAGGGTGCCTTTGGCAAGAGACCCATGGCTGGGTGGCCAGAGTTCTCTGGAAAAGTGGCCTGGATTGGGGGACTTTGTGCCTGTGCCCCCGGAAGAGGGGGCCAGCACTGCCCACGCCGCTCCTCAGCTGGGACTCAGTGCCGGGCTGCCCTCTGGACTGTCGCTCACCAGGCACTCGTTGGATTTGAAGCTCGCCAGGGACTTGCAGCTGGGGATGGAGGCCAGGGAGCCGCAGAGGCCCAGCATGGAGGGCGTGGGGTCCTTCCCTGAGGAGAGAGGGCGGGTGAGGCCGAGCCAACCGGTCTGCCTGTGTGTGAGCTGGGGAAGCGGGGTGCAGGCGAAGGTGAGGGAAGGGTAGCCCTCAGGTCAGCACCCCCCCCAACTCCCCCTGGAGATTTTCCTCATTTCTGGAGGATCTGGCATTTTCGAGTAAACCGGGGTAAGCAGCTGGCCATGCCATGCCCAGTGCCGGGACACTGTATTGTAATCGTCAGTTTATGTCTCTGTCTCCCCCTGAGGTTCATCCTCTCTGTCTGTTTATTAAACACACGGTGAGCACTTGTTCCGTTCCAAGCACTGGGGATACAGAGAACGGACGAGACACGGTCCCTGCCCTCATGGAGCTCACAGTCTGGTGGGGGAGACAGACACACAGACAATCACAAACACAGTGTGGCGGGGTTCCACGTCCACAGCCTGCCTTGTCTCAAAGAAGATCTAAAGTCATCCAGAACAGTGTGGTGTTGGGAAAGAAAAGGCAGGAGTCCAGGCCCCAGGGAAACTAGGGTGGGGAACCAAGGTGAAGCCAGGGGAGGGCAACACAAAATGCATGCGTTGAAGTCCCGGACATTCGCTTGAAGGGAGCCACTAATTTGGCTCTGAGCTTCCTGGCAGCCAAAGAAAAGGGGGAAACAAGGGTCAGGCAAGCGGTTCACAGAGCACGTGAGATAAGAGCAAATTAGTTAGGCAAAGAATTTCCCCGAGAACCTGTGAGCCACGGAGCCCCCAACAATGCTACCCTGGGGATTAACCAGCACCGGAAGTGCTGGGCCAGGGACCCAAGCTCCAACAACTGGAAGAGGCGCTGCCTGGGGTTTGCAGCAGGGTCTGCCCGACACCCCAAAGCAAGCTCTTAAATGCGATGCTAAGCTCTCTGGAAGGGCTCAGTGAAGGAGGGACTCGGCCAGGGTCACCGCAGGCCCCAAGGCCTGGCCTCAGCCCGTCTTGGAAGAATGTTGGGTGCTGGATTAGGGGGCTCACCGATGGGGCCCCAGGGCTCCTCGTCCCGTTTGCCCTCTCCCAGGCGCTGGGAGTCCGAGCTCAGGCTGGCTTCAGCTGACAGTGGCTCCGTGCTCATGAAACTGTGTCTGCAGCAGAGCAGAGGGCCGATGTGCAGGCAGAGGCCTGCAGCCCGCCCCAGCCCCCCTACCAGCCCCACTTCCCCAGTAAGGACCAGCACTGAGACCCAAGCTGAGCCCTGCTGAGGCTTACCTCCGGTACAGCTTGGGATTGTTGGTGCCCTCTGCCCCACTGAGCGTTCCCAGGGATGGCCATTGGTTGACCAGAGGCGTGGTGAGGTCTTTGGAACCCTGGGCCAGGGGAACGTGGTCACCGGGGATCAGACCTGTCCTGGGATGGGGAGGAGGGGTCAGGCCTGACTAGGAGAGGGCACAGAAGTGGGGAAAGGGGGCTCAACGGGGGTGGGTAGTTACGAATGAAATCTGGGCAGCGGAAATGGGGACAGAATGTTGTGGACCAGTAGGGCAGTTCCTGGGAGTCAGTGGAGGGTACTGAGGTCAGGGAGGAGATGGGGATCTAGTGCGCTCATGCTCATGATGGGAGCTGGAGGGAATGATGGGGTGCTGTGGGACTCAAGTTAGGGAGATGGAGTGGGTTGAAAATAGAGTGGGAATCCTGAAAGGTAACGGAGCATCTCTGGGGATCATGCTGGGAGGTCACACGGTGATGAAAAGTTTCAGGTAGAAGCTATCAGAAGGATGAATAACAGTGAAGTCCCCGGCGGGGGGGCACTGTGGGGATGATAGTGGTTGCAGATCAGAGGGGTGCTGAACAGAGGGAAAGCGATCATGTCCACAGTTTCTGAGTAACAAATGGGGTCTTTCTGAGTAACGTTCTGTAGCCATGCTAGCTGATGGAGTAAGTGGGGAGCCGGTTTTTGGGGGGTCGGGTCGCTGGATCTTATGTTGAGGGCAATTTAGTTCACCGGGGAGGGGTTCTTGGGGTGGAGGTGAGGGGATCAGTGGTTTGATGCTGGCGGTGGGTGGCGCTGGCTGCTGTTACCAAGAAAGCGGGGGCGATGTGGTCGGGGTGGCCGGGACGCGGCAAGGTTGGGGGGCGGGCGGGAGGACAGGGGTTGGGCGGCGGCGGCGCTCACAGCTGCTCTTGCAGCTCCAGGATCACGCCTTCCAGCTCCCGCTTCTCGCGCTGGTTCTGCGCCGCCGCCTCCTCCAGCTGCAGCTGCAGCCGCCGGTTCTCCGCCTCCAGGTCCTTCAGTTGGGACTCGCGCAGGCGCACCAGCTCCTCCAGGTAACCCTGCGGGACGCGGGTTCAGCGCCGGCGGCGGGACGCGGGTGTCCCCGCGGACGCCGCCCGCCCGCCCGCCGGCCCCCCCACCCTGCTCCCCCGGCGCGCGGCACGCACCTTCTGCGCGTAGACGATGCGGAACTTCTGTTCCATCTTGTGCCATTTGCTGTACCAGCTGTCCTCGTCGGTGACGAGCGGCAGGTACGGGTGCTCGGGCGAGTTGTCCTCGCTCGTACTGCTCTCGGCGCTGTGCCGCTCCTCCTCGTCCGTCAGGTAGTCGTAGCTTGGGGGGGAAGGCGCAGTGGGCACGGCCCGCCCTGCCTGCCCCTCCCCGCCCTCCGTCAGCCCCGCACCCACGCGCGGCTCACCTCTGGGTGAACTTTAGGTAGGGTGTGTAATCGATCACCACGGGGCTCTTCCCGTCCAGCACTTCGCCCTTGAGACAGAAGCTGGGGGCGAGAGAACCACAGGGTGGGGGGCGGGCATGACGGAATGCGAGTATGGTGGACATCCTCGGCTCAACTCCCTCAGCCCCCGACCCCGAGACCCCACCTGAAGTCTATGGCGCTCAGTCCGATCAGCATCCCGGTGAGGACGGTGGCTTCCTCCCGCAGCATGATGGCTCCCGAGTCATAGAAACGTCTGCGGGGGTAGAGGGTTGGGGGTGGGGGAAGGCTGGGTATCGAGGGACTGTCGGTGCCGCAGCCTCATCCGCCCAGGGAGGCCCCAGTCCTCAGGACTTCTCCTGTTGGCTCACTACAAACCTTTCCTAGAGGAAGGAGGTATGTCTCTCCTGCTCACCCTTCAGTGTGGATCTCGGCTCTCCCTCAGAGTGGCGCCCACTGTGTCTCCTGTGTACTAGAACGTGTGCTCCCCGAGAAGACTCTCCCCCATCCTCTGAACTACCCCTTTTCCACCAGTTATGGGATCATTCAGATCCATACAGTCAGGAAACAAGTTCTCATCGTTAGTGCTTGACATACAGAAGGTGCTCAAAAGCGTGTTGTTGTGAACTCTGAAATGTGAGGTCAGACTAGAGATAGAACGGAGTAAAACCATCAGGTTACACGTGACCACTGGGTGGCGGGGCAGGGCGGGGAGACGCATACTGCGGACTGTACTCAGTTGCAAACACTCATCCTGCCTGTGACCCCTGCCCCTGAGACCCAATCTCTCTGCAAACCCACAGTGCAGGGACTCAGGCTCTGCACACCAGGACTTTAGTCCACAGGCGGCAAGTACAGACTGCTGCTACTGTTTGGGAAGTAGGTAGGGCTCTGTGTCACAGGTCATGGAACAAGGCCAACAGATAAAATGATGCATAGTTGAGGCTTGTTCAGAGGCATGTCGAGGTTAGAGCTGTGCATGAGATCAGTACTGTGGAGTGATAGAGAAGAATGAATGTGACTTGGAAGAAATGGTGGTGATGCTAAAGGCTGTCTGGGACTGCAAGCTCCTCAGCCAGAGGATAGTCTGGGA